CCAGCCATGGTGACGAGAAGCGTCCGGGAGGCCCGACAACAAAAAAACGACATGCACGCCAAGCGCCAAGGAGGGCCGCTGGCTCGACGTCCGACAATCTCAGGAGGGAAAAAATCACAGACACTATTAATCATCGGTTCCCAGGAAAATATGGGAAAATATGGGAAGTGGGGGGGAAGACGAAAACCCAGAAGATAGGGGAAAATGTGGGGAATCCTGGGATTTGCGTGTATTTATTTGTGTGTTCTTGGGCCTCCTGACAAGCACAGCATTCCCCGGTGACGTCCCGCAGCCGCGGCCACGCTCGCCGCCTGCGCCCGCGCACGTTGCCTAGCTACACCGTGGTGGGCTTCTTGGCTTTCCGTCGTGAGTTGGGTGATCATCAGGGGGGAAAAAACACACAGACACAATTAATCGTCGACTCCCAGGGAAATATAGGAAAGTATGGGAAGTGGGGGAAAAGAAAAAAAAACAGAAAATATAAGAAACTATGGGGTATCGTGTCATTTGTGCCTATTTTTTCGTGTGTCCCAGGGCCCCTTCAGATCAGCTGTGGTGCTGTGCTTGTGCGTCTGGCGCGCTCGCACGCGCGCTTCGTAGCCTGAAGGGCTGGCTCGTGACTCCTCGCGCAGCCGCACCGGCCAGCATGCCAAGATCCTGACCGAGCTGTGGCGCGAAGAAGCGGGGATCGGTGCAGCGGTGTGCCGGTTCACCGTTGGATGGTCTGCAGGTCTTGGTCTGCAGGGGCGTCGTAGTCGTGCCAGTGGTTGCCAGGGTCACTTCGGGGTGCTGCAAGAGAAGTGACGCCCCTAGGGGGACGGCGGAGAGAGGGGTAGTGCTTCTATTGCCGTGGAGGAACTGGCACTCGTCGTTGATGAGGGAATGTGCTCGTGAAGCGCCATATCATGTCGCTTCACTTGCTCCGGCAAGCCGGGGCATGTGCCCCACGACCTCCCGACCGGCTGGCCACTTACCAGCCGAGGCACGTGCCCTCATCATCCACGAGTCCTCCAGCCGATGACCGCGCCGTGCTCCTACCAATCGCAGGTTTTCCCAAACCGATGGCCGCACCCGTTCGAAAGGTCGACCACCTTGCGAAGCAGGCCTCTTGAAAGACTGGCCTGCGAGCTACGCTGGTGAGCCATCGCTTCACCGTCGGGCACCCCAGGGCGCGATGCAGTCGCAGGCGCCTCGCTAAACACGTTTAGAGCCGATGTTCCCGTGGATCATCGTTGGCGGGAACGTCCAGCTTGTGACTTCTACCTCCTGTCAGTGCCGCACCTACCGACGACGAACATGCAATGCTATTTCTTCATCGCCTTGCCGCTCGGGACGCGGCGCGTCGGCGACGCGTGTCGCGCTCGGGCGGGGACGGTTCCCCTTCGACGCGGCCTCGGTGAAGTGCAGAGGCTCTGCCGATCCGCAGTGGGCCCCGGAAACGGCAGGGTCGGTTTTTGACCGTCTCCGAAAAAGTGTCTGTCGAAAATGGAAACGGCAGAAAAACGGCGACCGGAAACGGCAACAAAACGGCTCCAGGATTGGAACCGGAACTGGGACCGGTAAAGAAACGGCGGCGGAATTGGTAAACAAAATTGTGTCGGAACTGTCACAAAAACGGCAAAATGGGACAGGTGAAAAAAACGGCCCTGTCGTTTCCAGGGCCCACTCCCCAGTGCGAGTGCAGTACGAGTGCGGGCTTGGTGATTTCACTGCAAGTTGCGTCTTTACCCTTTACATCTCCATGCTTTGCCTGAGTTAGGTCTTTGGGCTGTGTGGAAATCGGACGTCGGGGGGCATCTATATCCACGGTCTCGCGGGCCAGGCCCCTGTGTCGCGAGCCCACGGATACGGGGCGTTTTTTTCGCGGATGCCGCCCGCGCGGAGCGTGTACATGCGACCGCCGTTTGATCCACGGGAATGCATCCTGGAGCCCAGACCGCGAGGCCGTGGATACGGATGTCTGTTCGCTTCTCGTGAGATGGTGTTGGGGAAGCTGGTCACAACTCAGCCTGCCTACCTGGTGTCGCAGGCTAGTTTCCTCCCCCAATCCCCGAATTCCGTCCGAAAAGTTTGGCCACTCAGGGAAGGGGGGAACATTGGGATATACACCCAAAGGGGCCAATTCGGACGCAGCCCTATTGAGGATGGACGCCCCCCCTATCGTATATCCCAGGGTTGGGCCAAAAATTTCTGGTCCATTCGAAAGCCCCACAAAGCCTGGGATAGTTTTCCAGAAGAATACGCACAGACATCGTCCAATGGATTGTTCCTGGGCCTCAGGGGAGGGTGGCGGTGTAAAAATCACCACTGGGAGCCAGCGACTTTATACACCGCCGCCCTCACTGAAGGTACGTGCAAAATTCGTCGGAGGGTGTCTGTGTGTATGCATATCTATATATCTGTATATCTATATAGAGAGAGATGCACATACATATATACTTAGCGTAGTTCGGGGTCAACTTATCCCCTGCTATGGTGGCCTGCCTTCCCAACAAGACTACACTCGCGCTCCAAGGTCCGGCGCCTTCCCGCCGCGGAACACCATCGACTCCCTCGTCGACTACATCAACGCCCCGACCACGTACGATGGCCTCAAGGACATCTCGGAGGTGCCCGGCAGAGGGGCAGCGCGCCGAGCGGCGGGGGGCTCCAGGGACGGGGGGCCCATGCCAACGGGAGTCCGCCAGAGCGCCGGCTCTTGCAGGAGGCTGCAGAGCCAGGGCTGCACTGACCCGAGCTAGGGCGCAGGATCCTGCAGGATGTTGCAGGATCCTGCAGGATCCTGCAGAGTCCGATTGGCCCGGGTTGGGATTGACCTGGGTCAGCACCTCCCCGAAGCGGGGGGTCCTTTTACTCGGCGGGTTCTCGTCGTGTCGACGACTCTGCGGCGACCCCGCTGCGGGAGTTCTAGGTTGAACGCCGCCGGTGATCTGGAGTCGGCCAACATGGAACGATTTGGTGGTCGAAAGCCGCCGATCGTACAAGGTTGAACGATCCACGCGGTGTCTGAAACCAGCGCCAGGTAAGGAGGCAGGCAGTCTTTTCAGAAGGGGTCCGCCCCTTGAAGCTGGAAGGAGTGCTCTGGATGGGACCATCGTCGCCCCCTCCCTTGGATCCGCCAGGGGGGGGTGGGGCACGTGCTGTCCGAACGGTTGGAGGGGGGTTGGAGGAGGAGGGGGAGGAGGAGGAGGAGGAGGAGGAGGAGGAGGAGGAGGAGGAGGAGAGGGGAGAAGGAGGCGGAGGAGGAGGAGAGGAGGCAGGAGGAGAGGAGGAGGAGGAGGAAGGAGAGGAGGAGGAATAGCGAGGAGGAGGGGAGTAGGAGGGAGAGAGTAGGGGAGGAGGAGAGGAGGAGGAGGAGGAGGAGGAGGAGGAGGAGGAGGAGGAGGAGGAGGAGGAGGAGAAGGAGAAGGAGGAGGAGGGGAGGAATGGGGAGGAGGAGGAGGAGAAGGAGGAGGAGGAGGAGGAGGAAGAAGAGGAGGAGCAGGAGGAGGAGGAGGAGGAGGAAGAAGAAGAGGAGGAGGAGGAGGAGGAGGGAACAGGGCCAGCTCCTTCGGAAGGTCAATTACCCCCGCCTTGATTGATACGCCGTCCAGAATCTACTTGGCATCCTTCGGAGGGGTGTGCATTTTTTCTCGGCGAGTGCCATCGAGGAGCCTTTTGCTGGGCGATCTTGCGAGACAAGCACACGCACGAAGCCCAAACACGCACGGGAAACCGACGTCCGAGCGATGGCGAGGCGTACAGCCAGCGCGACACGGCCAAGAGCAGCCCAAAGTTTGGGGAGGGGTGCCTTCACGTCCTGTCTCGCGCTCCGGCCCTCCGCCTGAGAAGGGCCTTCGTGTTCCAGTGCCTCGCTCGGGCCTTACGTAGGCTTAGGTCGGGCACGCCCCTCCACAGGAGGAGTATTCAAAAATATTCAACACATGGTCAGGGGGCAACTTTTTTCTTGTTATATTTATATATCATATATATATATATATACATAAATGAGAGAGTGCTATGTTTGAGTAGTTGTTCGACTATTTTTAATTTTCCGTCCCAAATCCCCGAATCCGCCTGGAGGGGGACGTGCCCGACCGAACCTTAGGCCTTTGGCCAAGGGGCTCGCGCCTCTCCTGCGAGGCGGCCTGCCTTCTCTCAGCGAGGGCCGCCCGCCCTCAGCGCTCGCTCTCCCCCGGCCGAGCGGTGCTCTCGGAGCTGGCCTCCGGGCGGGCCCCCTCGCGGGGCCCATCTCCTGGCCGGCTCGGGCTCGCGCCGCGGCCACGCGTGCCCGCGGAGGACCCCCCCGCCGCATGGGAGGCCGCCGGCCCCCAGGTCCCTCCCCCGTCCGAGCAGTGCTCTCGGAGCTGGCCTCCGGGCCCCCTCGCGGGGCCCATCTCCTGGCCGGTGCTGGCTGGCTCGCGCCGCGCCCAGGCGTGCCCGCGGATCATGGCGCCAACATCGCGGAGCGGATTTCGTTCCGAAAACAAGATGATGGGCCTGGATTGTGTCTTGGAGAATTTCCTTCCGGATTTCGAAGTGATTTTCGTGCGGATTTTGTTCTGGCCAGGAATGGAGACTAAACAAACCCACATGGAATCCACTTCGTTTTTCGCTCGCCGTTCCGGGGTTTTGCATTGACAGGAACCCATGCAAAAATTCGCTGGAGCACCTCTGCAAGGTCGGTGCAGTGACACGGAGGATCCGCCCCGCCCCCCCCCCGCATGGGAGGCCCCCCCAAAAAGGGCAAAGCCGTCAGAGCCTCCCTCGTGCGCAGAGCCCCAGACATCCGACGACGTGTCTTTTTTTTCAATGCGCGGCTCCAGAGGCCCCGACCCCTTCTGCGGGCGCAATTTCTCGCCCCAAGTCAGTTTTCGACGAAAAGAGGCCCCAGAGCCCGAATTCGACAAACAGCGCTGTGTGGCCGCACGAGGGCACGCTGCCAGACAACAGACCAAAAAGCCCCGCGCGCGCCGCCAAAGGTGCACCCCTCCATCATCGCCGCGGACCTTTGGCCCAAGATGCGCTCCATGAAGCAGCAGGACCTGTACGACATCTCGGCCTACATCCTGTACCAGAGCCGCGGTCGACCGCCCGGTTTTCCTGGCGGGGCCATGGGCACCCTGGGAGCAGCCCGACAGGTCCAGACCTTATGTGGCGCCCCGAGCCTCTGTGTTGGGCCATCTTCGGCGTCCTCCTCCTCCTCCTCCTCCTTCTCCTCCCTCCTCCTCCTCCTCCTCCTCCTCCTCCTCCTCCTCGTCTTCCTCCCTCATCCTCCTCCTCCTCCTCCTCCTCCCGCTCCTCCTCCTCCTCCTCCTCCCTCCTCCTCCTCCTCCTCCTCCTCCTCCTCCTCCTCCGCGTCCTCCTCCTCCTCCTCCTCCTCCTCCTCCTCCTCCTCCTCCTCCCTCATCTCCTCCGCCCCCTCCTCTTCCATCCTCGTCCCTGCTCCTCCTCCTCCTCCTCCTCCTCCTCCGTCCTGCCCGAGGTGCCGAGGAGAGCATGCCGCGCGCGAGTCGCTCCTGGAGCGGGCCCGTTTCCGGGGGTCGCAGGACTTTTGGCCCCCCGTCCCCGGCGGCAGGCGGCGCAACGGGGCGGCGGAGGCCGGCGGAAGGAGAAGTGAGGGCGGCTTCGCCGGCGGAAGGCCGGCGGAGGTCATCGGCTACACGCAGGAGTGGTCCTTCGCCGGATTGGCCTTTGGCGCGGGCGCACTGGTCAAGCAGTGGCGGAGCGTCCCGGCGTGCCTAGAGGCCCACGAGGCAGTGTTCTAAGAGCCCTTTTGTGGTTTCTGAGAAAGTGTTCTTAGAACATGTCAGGCTGGGTCTGTCTTGTTTTGAAGCATGGGGTGCATGTTCTGAGAACACTGCGCTTGTTCTTCGATTGGGGTTCTGAGAACACGTCGCGGTAGGCCCATAAGAAAGCGGGGACGGTCTGTCCCTCCTCAAATTGGGGTCCCCCGATCGCCGAGCGCGCGGAGGTGGGTAGCAGCGGCCTGCAGGCCCCTGGTCTGGCCACCTCTCGCTCCCTGAGGCCGCGCACCAGAGCTCGCTCTTGCCCAGGGTCACCCCTGCGTGTGGTCGAAGTGCAGCAGAGCATCGGATTCAGAAGCCTCGGGCCAGCGTTTCCCAACCGGCTAACCGAAAAGCTGGCCCGGTCTCTTGAGCACGGTCATTCCTCCGACGTGCTCCACAGAAGTTGGCCCAGACATGTGTTCAGAAACATCCGGGAAGTTGGCCCAGACTTCTCTTAAGCTATAGTTTTCTTGATCACCGTACCGGCTGTAAGAGATATGCGCCCCCAAGCCCCAAGAGATGTCAAGTTTTTTGGGGCTCAGGGTTTCCGCAGCCCGCCACATGTAACTCCGGGGGCTCCGCTCGCCCACATGGAGGCGTGCCATTTGTTCCCGCTGTATTGTCCACATCGTGGGGCGGCCATCATGGCCAGCCCGGGTGAAACTGATTAAGCTTGCGTTTGAAGTTTCGAGGCTCCTCGATTGGGTTCTCTCTCTCTCTCTCTCCCCCGCGGTTCCTCGCCGAAGACATGTTGTGTCTTCGGCGAGGAGCCGCGGCACAGTGCGTGCAATATGACGCCCGCCCCGCGAAATCTGCCTCTGCCGAGACGCCTGGGCCCCAACGGGGACCGTCCTGAGACGCCCCAGGATGAGCAGCGCGGGCTCCGCGACAGAGGGGGTCGGGGGAGGGGGGCCAGCGTTGAGTCGGGCCTGTCCCTCTGCAGGAGGAACATTCCCCAAATAGGCAGAACATCGTCAGGGGACGATTTGTGGAGCATTGTTCTTTGACTGTCTTGGAGTAGCTTTGCGCGATTCTTCACTCTTCGTCCAGACTCCGCCTGTAGGGGGACATGCCCGACCTGAGGCCAGCGGCAATCGGCCAGGTCGAGTCCTCGTCGGAGGTCTGGGGGGCACTACAGGCCTCCTCCCAGCTGGGGTCCGGGCAGATGTCGGGTACAGTCGGGACCCCAGGTAAGGGGGGCCCGGTGAGAGGTGGGGCCCCGGAGCCCCCAAATTGGCCAGAATCTGTAGCTCGTGTTTTTTCGGGTGACGGCAGTCAGTTCCGGTTAGTGGAACGCGGCGGGGGGGGGGGGGGGGGGCGTCCCCCAGCACACATCACATCACTAAACCAGGTCCCACTAAACCCAGCTCTGCCAACGCCCGAAGATGGGGTCGATGGGGTCGCGCCGCCGCGCCGATGCGTCGGCGATGCGGCTCGATGTGGAGCCCGAGTTTCTCCACGCCGGCGGCGCCGATGCATCGGCGATGCCTCGGCGATGCATCGGCGAGGCGGTGCGAGCCTCCGACCCCATCTGTCAGAGCCCCGAATCAGCAGGGGTACCTCGGGTCGGGGCTAACTCGGGTTCGTTTGTCGGGAATCCGAATCCGAGTTACCCCAGACCCGAGTTACCCCGGATAACTCGGGCGCTCAGAGCCCCAAATCATCAGGGGTATTCCTCGGGTCAGGGCTAAATCGGGTTCGTTTGTCGGGAATTCGAACCCGAGTTAGGGCTTTGCTGTGTTCCTGCTCGTTCACACTTGTCACGTGTACGGAGCTACGCTGTCAATGCCGCGCTTTCCCGTGGCTTTGCTGCGTTCTTGCTCGCAACGCACACCGCCAGAGGCGGCGGAGAGCTTAAGAGATCCACCTACCAAAAGATAGCTAGGGCGCCCAAATCTGCTCGGACTCCATTTGTAGGAGAACAAAAAGACAAAAACATAAAAACTCGTGGGTCTGCGCGGATTTCTCGGATCGCCGCTGGACCCCCCTCCCTGGCGCGCGGAGCGCGCCAGGGGCGGCGCCGCAGGCGCCGCCTAGGGGCCCCAGCGCCGATCCGAGAAATCCGCGCGGACCTCAGAGTTTTCTGGTTCATGACTGTCTTTGTTCCACTAATTTGGGAGACCTCTCCTAAGAGATCCCCTGGGGGGGGGGAGCCCGCGGCTGGAACGGGCCGGGGCGAGCCGAGACAGCAGGGCTGGGGGGGGGGGCGCTCCGCGCCCAGGGAGGAGGCAGCCTGCCCAGAAGGGTCGTCGGGTGAAGTCGGGCAAGTCCCTCTGCCGGAGGGATAGTCAAACTTAGTTTGAAACTAGGAATACGAATCGTAAGCATAATAACAATATTAATAATACTAATCATGATACTTTTCAGGAGATCTGCAAAACAGTCGAGTCCCTCTACAGGAGGGAAATTATTTTGAAAAATAGTCAGGGGACGACTTCTGGATTATTTTTGACAATTTTCGAGCATTTCTCCAATATTCCTGCGTTCGGCCAGGATCCCCCCGTAAGGCAGGACATGCCCGACCTGATCGTTTTGGGAATCGTTTGGTCCTGATCCGCTGCCCCCGGCGGGGGCCGGGGATGGGCCCGCTTGGGAGTTCCTGACCCCCTCCGCACGGTTCTTGTGCGGCAGATCTCGAGAGGCTTATCGTTTCGAGATCTATGATTCCCTCTCGCTGTCCTTGCCCTGCTCGCCCCTCCTTCTCCGAGCGAGCACTGCATGAGTTTGGATTCGTTGCGAGAGCCTGTAAACGAACACCTTACGCCAGGGAGGAAACAGCACATACACACAGGCCGACACAACGAATCGTCGACTCCCAGGAAAAAAAAGGTAGGCAACTATCATGGGAAGTGGAGGGGCAGGCGAGACTCCAGAACAGATCGAAAGATGTTGCGGCATCCTGGGGAATAGTGTGTCTCTTGATGTTCAGGAGGGAAAAAATCACACAGACACAGTTAATCGTCGATTCCCCCGAAAATGTGGGAAACTATGGGAAGCGGGGGGAAGACAAAAACCCCTGAAAATATGGGAAAATATGGGGAATCCTGTTATTTGCGCAGGGCCCCTTCAGGTGTGTGTGTGTGTGTGTGTGTGTGTGTGTCCCTGGGCCCCTTGGCGCTGTCCCCGAGCCTCCGCGCCCCGGGGGGCGCCGTCCCACAGGCCGCGGCGGGCGCGCGAGGGCTCCTCGGCTGCTCCCCCGCCCCTTCCCTTCGGCGGCCGTTCCCCTCCCCCCCCCGGGGGGCCTGCACGCGTGCGGTGGGGGGGCCCCAGGTGTACACCACCACCACCTCCCTCGCCCCTCGGGAGGAAGAGGAGGGGGAAGAGGAGGAGGAATCGGCGTGGTGGTGGTGGTGTGTATACATCAGGCCTGTCCCTCTACATGGGGAAGATTCCAAAATAGAAGAACTAGCCTGGGGACTAATTTTTGGAATATTTCCTGACCGTTTTGGAGTATTGTCTGAATTTTTTGTCGTCGAAAATCCCCCTGTAGGGGGACACGCCCGACTTAAGTACACTCCTGGGGCCCCCGTGCGGCGTCCGCGGGCCCCGCCCGCCCACGTGGGAAATCCCACCCCTCGAGCCCGGGCGGCCCCGGGCCCGAGGGGCCGGCCCGGGCCCCCTCGAGCTAGGATGAAGTCGGGCCTGTCCCTCCACAGGAGGAGTAGTTTAGAATAGTCCAGAAATAGTCCCAAAAAAGTACGGGGCTGATTTTTTGAATATTTCTTCGACCATTTTGGGGACATTTTTTTGGCTATGTCTTATTTTTCGTCCAAAAGCGCCCTGTAGGAGGACAGGCCCGACTTAAAGCCAGGAGCCGAAATCTCCACTGGAAGTGTTTCGCTGTTCTCGGCCTCTAATGTGGGGCCCCTTCTACCCGCCCTCGAGGCCGTGCAAAAACGACTCGGGGTGAGAAGCCGGTGCCAGGGACTGGGTCGAGACCTCTGGGGGCCGACAAATCATTGCACCAGAGAAGAACCCCAATCAGTGGATGGTTTGAAATGGGATCGATACAGAGATCGACAAGGAGATCGACTGGGCACCCAGGAGCCCGGAACCCACCGAAATCGGACTGGAACCAATGAGGGGCCGACAAATCATTGCACCAGAGAAGAACCCCAATCAGTGGATGGTTTGAAATGGGATCGATACAGAGATCGACAAGGAGATCGACCGGGCACCCAGGAGCCCGGAACCCACCGAAATCGGGCTGGAACCGATGACCGTGCAGGAGCCCTGGGGGTCAACGTTGTGTGCAAAACAAGGTCATGGCGTCTGGGGTTTGGGGGCCTGGATCTAAGTCGGGCCTGTCCCTGTATGCAGGAGGAATATTCAAAGATAGTCGTAACAAATAGTCTGGGGACGATTCGTTGAGCATTTTCTGGCCATTGTGGGGTATTTTCGGGGGGGCTATCTTTCATTGTTTTCGTCCAGAGTTCCCCTGTAGGGGGACATGCTTATGATGTTCCAACCTACTTTAGCCTTGACCACCAGAAAGAATTTCGAGCACCAGAAAAAAGACCCCAAAGTCGAGGGTTTTTACGTGTCGGGCCCTGGGAGACACTCGTCCGACACTGTTTCGACACTCTTTCGACACTCTTTCGACACTCTTTCGACACTTTTCAGGGTGCTCGACATTATTTCTGGGATGTGGTCCTTAAGTGCGATGGGAGCAACATGAGGACAGGCGCGACTTAAGCCCAGATTGGGGGAGCTCACGCGACCGAGTCGTAGCACCGCTCGGGGCGTGCGTGCACGCGGTGCTCGGCGAGGCCAGCGTCAGGGGAGATTTTTGAGAGCCGCCTTGAAGGAGCAGCTGGAGCCGTCCTGAGAAAATGGAGGATGGGTTTGTTTTCCACCACCACCACCATGAGTTGGAGGGGGAGGGGTCCTCCTCCTCCTCCTCCTCCTCCTCCTTTTCGTCCTCCACCTCCTCGTCCTCCACCTCCATAAGTTGGGGCGGGGAAGGTGGAGGACGAGGAGGTGGAGGACGAAGAGGAGGAGGAGGAGGAGGGAGGAGGGAGGAGGAGAAGGAGAGAGGGAGGAGGAGGAGGAGGAGGAGGAGGTGGAGGACGAGGTGGTGGAGGACGGAGGAGAGAGGAGGAGGAGGAGGAGGAGGAGGAGGAGGAGGAGGAGGAGGAGGAGGAGGACGAGGAGGAGGAGGAGGAGAACCCCTCCCCCTCCAGCTTATGGTGGTGGTGGTGGTGGTGGTGGAAAACAAGGCCATTAAACAAAGCTGCGCACGAAGCCTACCAGTGTTAAGTCGGGCATGCCCCTCTACAGGAGGAATATCCAAACATTAGTCCACAAGTAGTCGGGGGCCGATGTTTTCAGGTATGTTTGATTCTATGTTTGAGCATTGTTTGGGCTATCTTTGATGTCTCGTCCAACATTCGCCTGTATGTGGACGTGCCCGACCTAAGACCACAGCACGGGGAATGGCCGACCGAGCGGGTGGCCAGGGAATGGGGCTACTAGCTCTCCTCGCGGCTTCTGTGCTGCACTTCTCTCGGCCGCCACTCGACGCTCCTCGTGCCCCGCGCCGCCCCCGACCCTTCTTGTTTTACGTTCTCCTCGACGTCGCTCTCGTTGGAGGTGCTGCCCGGGGCCCGGGCCCTTCCAGGGTGCTGGCCGCGACCGCGGCGCCAGAACTACGTCATCCCGGAGAAGTGGGGCGGCGGCAAGCAGTACTACTGAGGAGCGGCGTGGCTTCTGGCGTTGCGCACAGGCGGCCCTCAGAGGCGGCCCAGGCCGCCCCCCACGGCCCCCCCCAGCTGCTCCATAAGGGGCAGTCTGAGGCGGGAGAAGCCGGGCTCGACCTAAACAGTATTTTAGCGATCTCGTGGGCCATTTTCGTTTTGGTTTCGCTTTGCAGCAGAAGGCGGAGCGAAGACAGAACGAGGGAAAACGAATGCAGAACGAAAACGGAAAACACTGCTTAGGTGGAGCCCTGGGGGGGGAACCTTCGCCAGGGGTGTCGCCAGGGCAGTTCAGTCGGGCGCTCGGGCCCGGACAACCGCGCGGTGGCCCAGGCCGATGCCGCGTGGGTGTCCGGCTCCAGAGCGTGGGCGGGCGGGGGAGACGTACATGTAACGGGCGTCGAGCATTGGGGGTGCGATGAACTTATGGGGGAGGAGGAGGAGGAGGAGGAGGAGGATGAGGAGGAGAAGGAGGAGGAGGATGAGGAGGAGGAGGAGGAGGAGGAGGAGGAGGAGGAGGAGGAGGAGGAGGAGGAGGAGGAGGAGGAGGGGAGGGCGGAGGAGGAGGAGGAGGAGGACGAGGAGGAGGAGGAGGACGAGGAGGAGGAGGAGGACGAGGAGGAACCTTTTTTGTGCCCCAGGGGGACCCTGAAGGGTCCCTTCCAGGGCCCACCGGGGACACGGAAGGTGCGCGTTTCCCATCCCCCCCGATTTCCCAGCCCCCCGACGTTTTGATTTTGCCATGACGTGGACCCCCAGCGGTCTGGACCCATTCCCCGGGACCGGTATTTCGTCCCGAGTCGTTTCTGGACGGCCCCGAGGGCCACCGAGGGCCCCCAGAGGTCGAAAGTAGCGACAGTTGTCGTGTTTTTTTCATGGTCTGAGGGGGTCTGGGTTCATCGCCCCCCCCCTCCATTCACGCCCGAACGTGTCCAGGCCCAGACGCCTCGGGCTGCGGCCTCAGGCGGCTCCCTGCGTGGGTGCCCCACACGCGGGGCGCGTCCGTGGCATCGCGTGTCCATCGGGGTCGCGTCGCGATGTCCAGACCTGCGAGGGCATGGATATACAGTTTGATGTGGCCGTGCTCGTCGCTCGTGTGGCCCAGCGCCGCCTCCGGCGGCTGCTGGTCCAGGACGGCGTTTCCGCTCCAATTTCTCCAGGACGGCGCTTTCGCCCCATACTGCTTTGACCGTTCCGCCTCCACCCTTCGCGCGGCCGCCCGCGTCGTCGCCTTTCCCCCTTGCGCGCCGGACAGTTTGCCTCTCGGTTGCCCCCCGGCCGATGGGCCCCACGCGGGTGCGGATGTTGCCTCTGCCTGGCCGCCGGCAGGAGACAGTTCTGACCGTGTTATCGAGCCCGAAGCGAGCCTCCGTGGCCGGACGCTTGCGAAGGTTGGCCGTCCTACACCACCCACCAAACCACCCCAACCCAACCCGAAGGCCCAAATTGATCCTCGATTTCCAGTGGGGGGGGGGTCGGGGAACATTGAAAAAACACATGGAACCCGTACCCCCCCAACCCGAAATTCGGGTCAAATTCGGGTCTTCGGGTTGGGTTGGGGTGGTCTGGTAGGTAGTCAGTCCTTGCGTCATGTTTTTTTGTGGCGCCGTCGGTCTGAGGTTTCCGACGTCCCCAAGGGCCTCTGGAGGTCGGAGGCTCTCGAGGCCTACAAGGTTACGAGAGACGCCAAGCATGGTCAAACAGCTCGACCTCTTTCTCCTGTCCCTCCTCCTCCTCATCCTCCGCCTCGTCCTCTTCAGGACTCAGGATGGTGGCAGTGTCAGGATGATCTTCGATACCATCGAACACGGTGCGCTTGGGGACGCCACCCCTCCAAAGGGAAAGGGGTCCTCAGCAGCTCCCTGGCAGCCCCCGACGAAAGGGACGGTGAGCCGCCAGGGTGCGCCGTGACGGGTGGGCCCTTCCCCATCCCCAACACACCCCAAACCAAACACGCCCCCCCTCAAAATGATATGTTTCTTTTTCACTGCTTTGCCGATCGGCACGCACCCTCGCACCCCCTGCCCCCCTCCCATGGAGTAGATCTTGTTTTTTTTGGCGCCTGTGTCAATCAGGTGGAGTTCCCCCCATAGGAGGACGCACTGTTGCAACCAGTCGCGCAAAGCAGATGTCCAGAGCCAGACCCCCCTTTCCCATCCTCGTCCGCCAAATTTCGAAACGCCGAATAAGAGACCGTTCACAAGCCTCATCTGGCGCCGCGCCGTCTGTTCCGACGCGCGGCCCTACGCTCAGGGGAGGGCGCCTAGGTCACCAGGGCGACCTCCGCCTCGGACGCGGTGGGTTTGCCGTGGGCTTTGCCGCGGTGCTGGCTCCGTCTACTTGGGCGCGGGATGCACGGCTTGCCGCGGGTTTGCCGTGAAGTTTGCTTTGCCCACGTGGGCACGACGAGAACAAGGGTCACGCGCAAGCGCCCTCGTCTCCAATGTGGCGTGCCGCGCTGGCGGCCCGCGCAAGCCCTCTCGTAAGGTCGCTATGCCATCTCGCGTAAGACCGCGTCGTCGCCTTGCGCGCGCCCGCCCGCGAGGGTGGCCAGGCGCGGCCATCAGAGGCCTGCTTTCCCTCCGGCCTGGGTTAGGGGCTGCGGCCCGCAGGCCGGAGCCGGTGCAAAGGCCCTTTCAGCAGGCAGGCAGCACCCGATCGACTCTGTACGCTGGCGCGGCCCGAGACTTTGGCGCCGCCCTGGGGCCATCTTGGGGGCGCCCGTTCTTGATCGTCGCTCACCTCCTCTCGGTGGACGCGGCGGCGCCCCTGGAGTGCGCGGCGCGCTCCACGCCAGGGGCGCCGACGCCCCGACCCCCTCTGACGCCCGCGGCCGGCGCGTGCGCCCCGCTCGAGGCGGAGGAAGAGAGCTCGGCCACGCGCCGAGGGTAGAGGGGGGCGCGTCGGTGGCGGGGGGCGGGCTTCCTGCGGAAGCAGCCCCTGCTCCTTCGACGGCGCGGGCCGCGTCTGTGGCCGCGGGGCCGGCGCCCTCTGGGGAGCAGCCTCCCTCGAAGCGGCCTTCCCCCCTTCCCCCCCGCGCTCCCTGGTGCGCGCCGCCAGTCGTGGTGCGCGCGGCCGCGCCCTTGGGGCGCGCGGCGCGCTCCGCGCCGCGGGCGCCGCCGCCCCGCGCCCCGCTGGCCGCGCGCGGCGGCCACGAGCCGGCGCGTGCGCTCCGCTGGAGGCTTAAGACGTGCTTTCACCGAGCGCAGTCCACCACTGCTCGCAAAGTGTCTGTTGGCAAGCTTCCGACGAAAGCAAGCGTCTGCCGCGGCGTCATGGATCACAACGGCCCCTGAGCAGATCCAGGCCATCTGCGAGTCGTTCCTTTGCGAGTGGTGGAGCGCGCTTGTCTATCCTCAGAAGCACCCCTGCTTCTTAGAAGGCGTGGGCCTTGTCTGTAGAAGGCCGGCGCCTTGCAAGAGCAGCCTCCTTCTAACAGCAGCCTTCCCACCCTTTGTGCGCGCCGCCACTCTTCGTGGGCGCGGCCGCGCCTTTGGGGTGCGCGGCGCGCTCCGCGCCGCGGTAGAAGAGATGGCCGGACGGAGGTATGAGCGCGAGGTCGGTTCGAGGAGGTTGCCCTCGTGCTCTTCGTGCTTGTCGGATGTCCCTGTGCGTTTCGGGGGGAGGGCACCCTCGCATGACCTTACGCTTTGGGGTGCTTTGCCCGGCGGGGGGCCTCATGTCCTTGAGGGACCTTCTTCTGTCCCACGCCCGGGTGCAATGTGAGCTTTTCCGCCGTCGGGGGCGCCTGCCCCAGGACGGCTGGAAAGTTCCTACCCTCACGGTGGCACGCCGGGGTATGACATTTTTCCGGTCGCGTTCTGGGGCAGGCGTCCCCGACGGCGGCGAAGCTTGTTTCGTACCGTTCTCCGCCCAGCGAGGGGTGGGGGAGGGACGGATCAGATGCGCGAGGAGGGAGCAGGGGAAGAGGGTGGTCCGACGGCGTTCGGACGAGGAGAAATCCGTTCCAGAGCGTCCTAGAAAGAAGGTCGCTTGTCTGGCACCAGGGATACGGTCGGTCCTAGGACAGAAGAACATCCTTCAAGAACATGAGACCCTCCGCCGCCTGAAACACCCCAGACCTCAGGATCACTCGAGGGTGCCCTCCCCCAGGATGCACAGGGACATACAAAAAGCACGACGAATATTAGGGCCCCTCCCCGAACCTTGCTGCGCGGCGCCGTCCGAACCCAGATCGAGCCCGTGCGTTCCGGGCAGCGCGGGGGCTCGAGACACGGTCGTCCTGGCGCCCGCGCGAAGGGCACGTCGCGGCCAGGCGAGCGTCGGGTGCGAAGCGGGGCTGCTTGGCGCTGCTGGGCGGCGGGGAGTGCGAGCGCATAGCGTGCAGCGGGGATGCGAAAGGAAGGTGAGCGCTGTTCTTTCCTCCCTAGGGTAACGCTCGTTACCCACCCCCGCCCTCCCGGGGTAACACTAACCATCGTACTGGGGCGGGGCCTGGACCCCCCCCCCTATTGGGGGGCCCAAAAATATACCTCCCTCCCTCCCTCCCCACCTCCCTCTCGCTGGAAAGAGGAGAGAGGAGGAGTCGACGTGGTGGTGGTGTATGTTCTTTGGGCCCCCCCCCTACGTATATCCTGTGGTGTGCACCGGCAATTGATGCGCTGGTGGCGCGGACGCACCATGGCTGGTGCACGGCGCGGCCGCCGACCACGCCTCCCTGGGGCAACGACAGCTACGAGGGAAAGAGAAGAAGTACGGTCACAAGGGGAATTGGATCATGAAGCCGAAAGCAAGGAGGGGGAAGAGGGGAGCGTCGGACGGCTGCCATTCTGCCCCGGCGACCTCGTGATCGCCCAGCGGGGCTGCGCTCAGCTCCTGTTCAGGGCAGGTGCTGCGTCCTTTCAAAGGCGCGGTCTAGGCCCGCATCCGGAGCAGAGATTCGCGGGTGACCGCTTCTGGCTACGCCCTGAGTGAACTCGTAGTGCCGAGGTCCGTGGGCGAGGCACAGAACTTCCGAGTCGAGTAGGCGTCGCTGGAGGTGTGGCCCGGGGCGCGGTGGGCGGCGAGCTCGCTCTCCGCTTCAGGTCCTATGGTCCTCCTCCCGCGGTCCCAGAAGGCGCCCACGTATGGACACGTGCTCAGCAGGACCGAGCGCTGCGACCTCCGAGAGGGATCGGGATCCTGCAAAGGGTGTGTGTGCCCCTGTGTGCGTGTGTGTGTGTGTGTGTGCGTGTGTGTGCGTGTGTGTGTGTGTGTGTGTGTGTGTGTGTGTGTGTGTGTGTGTGTGTGTGTGTGTGTGCGTGTGTATGCGTGTGTGTGTGTGTGTGTTTGTGTGTGCGTGTGTGCGTGTGTGCGTGTGCGTGTGTGCGTGTGTACGTGTGTGCGTGCGTGCGTGCGTGCGAGTGCGCGTGCGTGTGCGCGTGCGTGCGTGTGTGCGTGTGTGCGTGTGTGCGTGTGTGGGCGTGTGGGCGTGTGTGTGCGTGTGCGGGCGTGCGTGCGTGCGTGCGTGTGTGTGTGTGTTGTGTGTGTGGTGTGCGGGTGTGTGTGTGTGTGTGTGTGTGTGTGTGTGCGTGTGTGTGTGTGTGCTCGTGTGCGTGTGTGCGTGTGTGCGTGTGTGCGTGTGTGTGTGTGTGTGTGTGTGTGTGTGTCTGTGTCTGTGTGAGTGTGTGTTTGTGTGTCTGTGTGTCTTTGTGTGTGTCTGTGTCTGTGTGAGTGTGAGAGCTCGATCGGCTTTTGCACCGGACCGCCCAACACAGATGCCCCCCCGGCCGCCGGCCACTCCCGATCACTATAGTTGCCGACATGGGCGGGAGTCCGCAGGGGGCACCTGTGAGCGGCAGCTGGGTGCACCAGCAGGTTGATCCCATGCCCGCCCTCAGGGTCACCCCTCGCCCCGCTTGGTGGATCCCGAGGGGAGTCGCCGAGCGCCTGGTGCGCAGGCCCTCGTGCGCTCCGCCTCCCGCGCCTGGCGCGCGGCGGCCGCCCCCTCGGCGCGCGGCCTCGGCCTCGCGCTGGCGCGGGGCTCCTCCGCCCGGCGTCGGGCTGTGGCCGCCTCGGCCCGGCGCGCGGCCCCGGCGTGCGGCGCCTCGCCTCCGCCTGGCGCCTGGGCCTCCGCCTGGCGCGGGGCCGTCGGGGCGCTGGGCCGCCGCCGCCTGGCGTTGAGCCTGGCGCTGGGCCTCCGCCTGGCGTGGAGCCTCCGCCTCGCAGCCAGCCTCCGGCGGGCTCCGGGCGGCCTCGGCCCGGCGCTCGGCCTTCTCTGGCGAGGCGTCGGGCTGGCGCCCGGCGCCGGGCCGCCTCTGCCTGGCGTCGAGCCTCCGCCTGGCGCCCTGCTTCAGCGAGGCGCTGGGCCACCGCCTGGCGTTGGGCAGCCGCCTGGCGCTCTGCCTCCGCCTGGCGGTGGGCGTCCAGCAGGGTCAAGCCCCGAGGTGCGCAGGTAGCTGTCGAGTACGTCGACGTCGTCGACCAGGCCAGGGTTCGAAGGGCCGGGCCTCTGGGTTGAGCTGAGGAGGGCTCACGCCATCTCGACTCCCTGGTCTCCCGCGCGGTCGACGGCGGGGGGCGGCTTTGCCGCGGCGGCGGCGCACGACGCCTCCGCGCGCAGCAGGCGGACGCCCAATTCCGTCACCTTCCGCGGTAGTTTTCTCGAGAAATTGGTTTGCCGAGAGCGGCGTGATGTGAGGGGTGACGTGGTAGGCTTGATCGAGCCGGATGGGTTTGGCAGCAAGCTTACTGTCGATAAGCCTAATTACTGACAGCATGCTCGCAGCGCGAACGACCTTGGTAATGCACTCCGAGTCGCGCCACGATCACACTCAGAAGGATCCCGTGGAGGTCACTAAAGCTGGTGCGGGGCGCTGCCATAGGACGAAGGGAGAGATGATGCGACTATCGTTGCGCAGTGTGAAACATTGGGGGAAGCAAAAAGGAACTGGTGCGTGTAAGAAGAAGCCTGAGCAGACGACTCTGGTGCCTGGCACGCCAGGGGTGGAATCACCTCCAACGAGCATTGGGCCAAAACTGACTCGATTCAAAATTGCTAATTACGGATCCTCGCCCTCCTCCTCCTCCTCCTGTTTCTCCTCCTCCTCTTCTTCCTCCTCCTCCTCCTCCTCCTCCTCCTCCTCCTCCTCTCTCCTCCTCCTCCTCCCCTCGCCCCTCGTCTCGCTCCTCCTCCTCCTCCTCCTCCTCCTCCTCCTCCTCCTCCTCCTCCTCCTCCGTCTCCTTCTCGTATTCCTCCTCCTTCTCCTCCACCTCCTCCTCCCCCTCCTCTCTTCATTCTCCACGAACGCGATGCTCTTACACAATGTCTAGACTTATGGATGTGTATGATGCTTACGTGTGTATGTGTTCCAAGGTGTTTGGCGGGAGCCTGAGGTAGTCCCAGCACTCCCGATCCGCTCCGATACGCCCCCCCTTGTCCTTCCGCGTCGAGCCTCTCTCCCGCGCTTCCCCCTTCCAAGAGGGGGGGGGTCGCGGGCGGCGAGCGTGTCCGTGTCCGCGCCCTCGCGGCCTGGATCCCGGGGCCCGCGACCCCGCGGAGGCGCGGTCGCACGGCCGCGTCTCCGCGAGCGGCATCCGCGGCAGCGCGCCCCGTGCTCGCGGGGCCGCGGCCCCGGGGCCCCAGGCCCGCGAGGCCGCGGACGCGGGCACGCTCAGGGCGCCGGCAGGAGGACCTCTTTCGGGCTCGGGGGGGGAGGACGAGGGGGAGGGGGAGGGGGAGGAGGAGGACGAGGGGGAGGAGGAGGACGAGGGGGAGGGGGAGGAGGACGAGGGGGAGGGGGAGGAGGAGGAGGGGAGGGGGAGGGGGAGGAGGACAAGCTAGGTGCGCTCGCGTCATATCTGACGTCCTACCCCTCCCTCCCATCCCTTACCATGGCGCTGATTTTCTCTATCCGCGGACGCGTGTCGTAGCGGACCTATGGCTCCGCGCGCGCGTGCGTAGTGGGTGGTGGTGCGCGTGCGTGCGTGCGTGCGTGCGTGCGTGCGTGTGTGGTTGTGGTGGTGGTGGTGGTGGTGGTGGTGGTGGTGGTGGTGGTGTGGTGCTGGTGCTGGTGGTGGTGATGGTGTGGTGCTGGTGCTGGTGTGGTGCTGGTGCTGGTGTGGGTGGTGCTGGGTGGTGCTGGTGGTGGTGGTGGTGGTGGTGGTGGTGCGGCGCGGTGGTGGCGGGCGGATGGGCGCGCGAGAAAGAGGCCCGCGCTGGGGCGAGAACGCCATCCTGAACGACGGAGGCCAAACACCGATCCGAAAATGAGGCCCACGCTGCAGCGGGAGCACGATTCGGAACGATTCGGGAGCAGAAATGAGGCCGGTGCCTCAGCGAGAGCAGCATTTTGGAAAAAAACGCAAGCGAAAACCCGTTTCCCGGGAATCCTGTGTGTAAAAAAACATACGCGGGGGGGGGTGTCGGATATCTTCGGGACGCCATTAGGGGAAGTGGGGAATGTATTTTCATAGTGTGTAATTGTGGAGGAGGAGGAGGAGGAGGAGGAGGAGGAGGAGGAGGAGGAGGAGGAGGGAGCAGGAGGAGGAGTACCTCCTCCGGGCGCTCAGGGGGGGGGGACTCGGCTCTCGTGGGGCCATCATTCCTGGGGCCTGCGTCTCGCGGTGCTTGCTTGCGGCCTCGGCCCCGCCGTGGCCCGAGGGAAGACCCCTTTCGCTCCTTACGCAGTCGGGGCGCCGAAGGAGGATGCCTTTCCTTCGGTGCTCGTTTCGGGGACCTTCCTGGAGCCCACCTAACTCACCACCCACCAAACCACCCCAACCCAACCCGAAGGCTCACATTTACCCTCGATTTCCAGTGGGTGGGGGTCGGGAAACATCGAAAAAACACATGTGGAACCCTTACCCCCCCCAACCCGAAATTCGGGTCTTCGGGTTGGGTTGGGGTGGTCTGGTAGGTAGTCACTAACGGATCTGTTTGACCCAAGTTCGACTGAAGTTCGACTCGAGTTCGACTCAGGTTCGACTCAGGTTCGACTCAGGGTCGACTCAGGGTCGACTCAGGGTCGACCCAGATCGACTGACGTTCGACGCAGCTTCGACGCACGAGTGGAGCGAGTGGCTCCAGGAAGGTCCCCAGAACGAGCATCCAACTTTTCGGTGGGGAGGGGCTCCGCGTTCCTCAATTGTTTCACAGATTGCCTTAGGTGTTCCTGAGGTCTTCGATGGGAACGCCGAAGTTTCACTCATGGGAAAACGTCCGAGGCGGGAATTTATCCATATCCACCGCCTGGAGGGTCAGTTTTCGGAGCCTCGGCAGGCGGTGGATTTGGACAGATTCGGACCCCCGGGGGCCGACATATATCCATGTCCACCGCCCGCTGGGGCACCAGGACGTCGGTTCCCAGGCGGTGGATATGGACAAGTCCCCGCCTGGCAAAAAAGGGGGCCTCGTTCCTTCTTTAAGGCTCCTGAGGTCAACGCCCCGACTGTATTCTGCGTGCCTTCTGGCAGCAGGATGGCCGTGCGGCTTTCGCCCACGAGGCGGGCGGGGTGGCTGTCTGCATCCGGGGGCGTCTGCCTGTGCGCAGCCGCGGCCTCCTCCGCGGGCGGAGGCGCGCGGGCGGGCCCGGGCGTGGGCGTCTTGTTTGTTTGATTGCTGTGCTGTGGCGGCGAGAGTTTTTGTACGGTGCGGGGTCGCGAACGCCACTGGCAGCCGAGGACGAGGAGGAGCAGAAAGAGGAGGAGGAGAAAGCAGGAGGAGGAGGAGGAGGAGGAGGAGGAGGAGGAGGAGGAGGAGGCGGATACATGATGATGAGAAGAGGAGGGAAGAGCAGGAGGAGGAGGAGGAGGAGAAGGAGGAGGAGGAGGAGAAGGAGAAGTGGGATGGGAAAGATGAGTAGGAGAAGGACGAGGATATGGAGGGTGAGGAGGACGACGAGTAGACCGTGGAGGGGGTGGTGGAGGCGAAGGAAGGGGGGAAGTAGGAGGTGTAGGAGGAGGAGGAGGAAGAGGAGGAGGGATGGAGGAAGGAAGAGTAGGAGGGGTGGAGGAGGAGGAGGAGGAGGAGGAGGCGGGGAGGAGGAGGAGGAGTGGTAGGAGGAGGAGGAGAGGGAGGAGGAGGAGGAGGAGGAGGAGGAGGAGGAGGAGGAGGAGGAGGAGGAGGAGGAGGGTAGGAGGAGGAGGATGGAGCAGGAGGAGGAGGAGGATTAATGAGGAGCAGGAAAGAGGAGGAGGAGCAGGAGCAGGAGGAGAGGAGGAGGAGGCGGAGGAGGAGTAGGAGGAGGAGGGGCAGGAGGAGGAGGGCAGAGGAGGAGGAGAGGAGGAGGAGGAGGAGGGGGAGGAGGAGAGGAGGAGGGAGGAGGAGGAGGAGGAGGAGGAGGAGAGGAGAGGAGAGGGAGGAGCAAGGAGGGAGGAGGAGGAGGAAGTTAGGAGGAGGAGGAGGAGGAGGAGGAGGAGGAGGAGGAGGAGGAGGAGGAGGAGCAGGAGGAGGAGTAGGAGGAGGAGAAGGAAGAGAAGCAGGATGATACGATGCAATATGTTGATTGGGGTCAGTGCGTCGTGCTTTTGAGTATGCGGGCGGAGCGTGATAGGAAGTGTACTTCGTGGACCACAAGTCATGGGATCCATTGGCACTGCCACACTTGCAAGGGAGGAGGATGGATGAGGAAACGGAGGGTAATCAGGGGAGAATGGGAGAGGATAGAGGCAGGAGGACAATGAGGAGTGCAAGGGTGGGGCCGGTGCCCGCACAGCGTGTCACGTCGAGCGTGCAGGCTTGGAGCGATGGGAAGTCCACTCCGTGAAGCCTTCAGTCGTGGAGTCCGTCCAGTGGCCAGGGTGGAGGAGAAACAAGATGACGCAAAGGGGAATGCGACGCAGGAGGAGGGCATGGCTTGAGCCAGTGCCACGCCCTGCTGCCCTCTCGGGGGGCCGCGCGACGAGGACGAGGAGGAGGGGGAGGAGGAGGAGGAGGAGGAGGAGGAGGAGGAGGAGGAGGAGTAGGAGGAGGAGACGGAGGAGGAGGAGTGGGAGGAGAGAGAGGGGAGGAGGGGGAGGAGGAGGACGGGACAATGCAAGACCCATGGAGCATCAAGATGTTGGAAGATACCCAGATCTCGCGGGAGGGGAGGAGAGGAGGGAGGAGGGGGAGGAGGCAGGAGGAGAGGAGGAGGAGGAGGAGGAGGAGAGGAGGAGGGAGGAGGAGTGAGAGGGAGGAGGAGGAGGAGGAGGAGGAGGAGGAGGAGCAGGAGGACGCATGGGGGCAAGCGGCGCGGGAGGAGGGCATGGCCTGAGCCGGTGCCGCGCCCTACTGCCCTCTCGGCGAGTCCGCGCCCCTCGCCCGCCCTCCAGACCGACCTCGGCCCAGACCTAAAGACGCCCCGTCCCGCCCCCGTCGTCCTCCGACCTCTATTCCTATTCTGCGTCCCTCTCCTCTTCCCTCCTCCTCCTCCTCCTTCTTTACTCTCCTCCTCCTCCCTCCCCTCCTCCTCCTCCTCCTCCTCCATCCCCTCCTCTCCTGCCCTCCTCCTTCGCCCCTTCATCCTCTCCTCCTTCTCCTCGTCCTCTCATTCGCCTCCTTCTTCCTTCTCCTCGTCCTCCTCTCCTCCTCCTCCTCCTCTCCTCTCTTTTTGTTTGTTTTTTTTTCTTTTTTTTGTTTTTTTTTTTTTTTTTCTCTTTTTCTTCCTGTTTTTTTTTTTTTTCTTTTTTTTTTTTCTCCTTCTCGGGGTCCACACCAGAGAGTTTTTTCCATCCGTGCCTAGCCCTTGCGACGAGAACTGCCAGAATGACGTTCCACAGACCTCCGAGACGACGACGACGACGCCGACGACGACGACGAGGACGCCGACGACGACGACCGTGACGTCCACATCCACGTCGACACCGAAGCCGCCTCCGCCGCCGCCGCCGCCTCCGCCGCCGCCGCCGACGGCGACGACGACGACGACGACGATCGCGACGTCCACATCGTCGTCGTCACCGAAGTCGACGACGACGACGCCGACGACGACGACGACGCCGCCGACGACGACGACGATGACAGCGACGACGACGACGAAGTCGCCCGACGGCAACGACGACAGCGACGACAACGAAAAGGACGGCGGCGACGGCGGCGAGGACACGTGGCAACAGGCGAGGCCTTGTGGCGGCAGGCGAAGGCCCGCCCCCCGACGAAGATGAGGACGACGACGACGACGACGACGACGACGACGACGACGACGACGACGTCCACGTCAACGTCGACGTCGACGTCGACGTCGGCCGACAACGCCGACGCCGATGCTCGCTTCCAGCTGCCCCACGCGCGTCGGCGTTCTCGGCGGCGTCATCGTCGTCGTCGTCGACGTCGTCGGCGTCGTCGGTGTCGGCGGCGTCGGCGTCGTCGACGTCGTCATCGTCGTCGGTGTCGCCGTCGTCGTCGTCGTCGTCCGTGTCGCCGTCGTCGTTGTCGTTGTCGTCCGCGTCGTCGTCGGCGTCGTCGGCGTCGTCGTCGTCGTCGGCGTCGTCGTCGGCGTCGTCGTCGTCATCGTCGTCGTCGTCTTCGTCGGCGTCGTCGTCGGCGTCGTCGGCGTCCTCGCCGTCGTCGGCCGACTCTTCGGCGGCGCGCGCCTCCAGCCGCCCCACGCGTGGCCGCGGCGGCGGCCGGGCGGGCAGAGGCGGCGCATTCCGCCCCCCCCCCCCCCCACCTCGGGGGCAGCGACGGGGGGGGGTTGGGGGTGGGCGGACTCGCGGACGGAGCATCCGTAGCGCGCTCCCAGATCTCGCGGGATGGGGACGAGGAGGAGGAGGAGGAGGAGGGAGGAGGAGGAGGCGGAGGAGAGGAGGAGAGGAGTAGGAAGAGGAGGAGGAGGAGGAGGAGTAGGAAGAGGAGGAGGAGGAGGAGGACGAGGAGGAGGAGGAGGACGAGGAGGAGAAGAACGAGGGAGGAGGAGAAGGATGAGGAGGAGGATGCATTGGATATGAATGCAAACTAGGCTCTAGGGGTCAGGTGTTTATAGATATCCACTGCGCCACTGGTGTCTGGGGAAGGGAGCCCGAAACTGCAAGACACAGTGGATATGAATACAACTCTTGCCCGCACCTGACTTCGGATCCGCCGTACTCTGGGCGATGTCGCAAGTAGGGCGGATGTTCCCGCCCCACTTTTCAAGCTCCTTTGACGCCGATTGCCGCCCTGCTTTGCCGTCGCTGCTTGCGCCACACCTTTGCGGACATGTCCCCCGACCTGTCTTAGGTGTTCTAGGATCACTGAGTCCCCCATGCTTCGCATGCCATCTGTTATCTTAGCGTATTGCAGGCGACTTGTTCAGGGAGAGAGTCCTTGCGAAAGCACAGAAAACAGCCGCCTTTACTTGTTCGCCTCGTTAGGGGTGCGTTTCCGAAACAAATGCAGGCACAGTCAAGACGCCGAAAGAAGGACCGGTTTGGCCTCAGGAGAGGCCAGGGGATCCGGGCCGTTCCCTAGATATACATGCCGAGGAACTTGTCTGTGGCCTAGGCCCGCCGTGGCCAGAAACGCCCGCTCGTTCCTGATGGTGGGGGAGGCGGGGTAGGAGGAGGAGGAGGAGGAGGAGGAGGAGGAGGAGGAGGAGGAGGAGGAGGAGGAGGAGGAGGAGGATGTGGTAGCCCGATGGCTGTAGGAAGACAAGCCGGAGCACAGAGCACGGCGGCGCCGAAGTCAGGGGGGGCGGCTCCTTCCGCTCCTCCCCGCCTTGGAGGCAGCGGCCAGCCCCCCCACCTCGGCAGCAACAGGCGGTGATCAGCATGTTCTGTTTAGCCCTTCGCAGCACCGCCCCCAGCTCTCGTGAGGGTGGAGGGAGGAGGTGGAGGGAGGAGGAGGAGGACGGAGGAGGAAGAGGAGGAGGAGGAGGAGAGAGGAAGGAGGAGAGGATAATAGGAGGAGGGAGGGATGGGGGGAGGGAGTGAGGGAAGGGAGGAGGGGAGGGAGGGAGGGGGGAGAGGGAGGGGGGAGGGAGGGAGGGAGGGAGGAGGGGGAGGGAGGAGGGATGGGAGGAGGGATGAGGAGCGGAGGAAGGGGAGGAGGAGGAGGAGGAGGAGGAGGAGGAGGAGGAGGCGGGGAGGAGGAGAGGGGAGGAGAAGGAGGAGGAGGAGGGAGGAGAGGAGGAGGAGTGGGAGGAGGAGGAGGAGGAGGGGAGGAAGGGGAGGAGGAGGAGGACGGGGACCAGTGCAGACCCAAGACGCATCAACGATGTTGGAAGATACCCTCCCTCCAAGGTCCCTCTTCACATGCCCCTACAATCATTCATTTCCACAGGGAGGTGTTCCCATTGGGAGACAATTGTCTGAAGATCCTGAAGCGTGCCAAAGTATTATTCCTGGGACTTCATAACACCGCGAAACAACGAAGCTGTTGCCCAAACACAATGTCTATTACGTTAACCACGAACATTTGACAGTTTGAATAATTCGTTTAGAACAAATGTGCGCGGCGCTAAGGCGAGATCAACATTTTGAAAAAAGGGACCGCCCTCTATATGCGGAACTCTTGCACGCATTCAAAGCGAATGTGCGCGGCGCTGAGGCGAGAGCCACATTTTGAACAGGAGCCGCCCTCACATGCAATTTTGTTGAAACGAATATGCGCCGCGCTTCAGCGAGAACCACACTTTGGAATCGGCCCGTCCTCCATCT